ACACACACACACACACCACCGGGAGATAGGGAAAAAAAAAAAAAAAGAAGGAAAAAAGAAAAGGAAAAAGGGAGGAGATAGAAAACCTCTCTCAGTGATTATGAAGTACTAACCAGCAAGATCCCACTTTCACAGGTTCATTGTATCTGGCCACAGATTGTGAAGATCAACTGCTAGAAATGGAAAATCTATGCAAGCAGGATTGCCTCCCCCCTGGCTCATTGGCGACCAAAGTTTCCTCTCTTCTCCCTCATTGGCGAACAACATTTGCCTCAGGGTCATATCAAAATTCTTCACCAAATTAAAAAAAAAAAAAAAAAATTCAAAATTCGATGTTTTTCTTTTTCTTTTTCTTTTTTTAATTTGTTTAGGCCCGGCCGGGCAAGTGGTCCCGGCCCACTCTGGTAACCTATTAGGCTATTACTTATCGTATTTCGGATTTCCTTTGTCTGGATTCCAACTGAGGTCTGCATGTCAGCAGTTCATGGGTGTTGTACCAACTGAGCTGGGGTCCTTCGTGCAAAACTACAATTTTTTTATTTTTTATTTTTTATTTTTTTATTTTTTTGTTTTGTTTTGTTTTGTTTTGTTTTGAGGAGGAGGAGGAGGAGGAGGAGGACTGAAACGATCATTTCCAAATTTTCAATGGAAGAGAACTCGAGGCCAGGGTCCTCACAATTCTACCCGGAAAATGTACTGGGGCCATTACCCAGCTTCGGCCATGCTGGAAACCGGGTCCAGCGTCCCTTTTCACTCAAAAACATATTGTTAAAAAACCACACAAATACAAAATGATTCAAATGAACAAATTCAATCGCAAAACAACAAAATGAGCAACACTCCCCAGAATCGATATGGAGCGAAGCCCATACGGACCCGGTCCATATCGATTCTGTTTTTTTTTAATAAAAACATCAAAGACAGCAACAACAATGACAACAACAACGACAACGACAACAAGAGCAAGAGCAAATCCTACTTAACTACCAACCTCTTTTTTCCTTTTTTTTTTTGATAATAATAATAAAAGACAGAACCTTAAGGTTCTCGCTCGTTTCCATTCTGTGAACTATCAACCTCATTTACGACACAAAGGAAATTTGAAATTTCCAGCCGCCGCCTACCAGCTTCGTCCCCTAATACAGGGAGCAGCAGACTGGTTGCTAAGATTTCTGAACATTTCTGAACATTTCTGAAAAAATTCAGAAAATTTCTGAAAATTCCTGAAAATTCCTGAAAATTCCTGAAAATTTCCTTACATTTCTGAAAATTGAATATCTGAATTCCTTACCTGACTGTTGGGTCTCATTGTCAGAATTTACGTCCCAGTCGAGGCGGGCGGTGGGACGGTGGCCAATCGGATAGGATAGATATTTCTTCGTCGCTCATTGTTGCTTCGGCAGATCCCACAGAGGCCACAAGATGAAGACTCGGTGGGCCTCGCTCCACTGTGACTACTCTCCAAGTGTGCAAAATGAGAATGACTCCTCCTCTTGTCATGTCATCACAACGCTGACACCGAGCCTCAGAAAAGGGGAAAAAAAAAACAACGCTTTGGGTCCGTGTGATAAATTCGAAGTGTAAACTGACATGATCAAAGTGACTTCCCAATCAAACTGAAATTTCGAATTGATGGCAATCTTTGAATACCTGTTCGATAATCCCACATGGCTTGGCTCTCCGAACTGACTAACTGGTGTGGCGTGCCCGAGACGGTGGAAGGTGGCCGCATTTCTCGGTACTGGTGCAGTCTGCTTGGATGAACGCTGGTCGCCGAGGCGGATAAAGAAAGCGACCTCTGTTCCTCCGTCAGATCGGCATGACCTTAACCAATTCCCAATCGGTGGAAATATCTGGTATACGACTGCTGCATCGTCCTCCTCTCTCTCTGCCCTCCTCCCTCTCCTCTCCAACCTGAGTAACCGTGGTGGCGTGCCTGACGATCTGGAATTTGCTTACGCTGTGCCGCCTTAAACCACCAGTACCTTTCCCAGATATTGGCCGCGGGACAAAATAGAGTGGAAGCGTTTCTACTGGGATGAATTTGGGCGCCCCAGTAGTGGCCTGTTCATCCGTGCGCGTAGCGGCTCACATGTGGCTGCAAATTTCAGACGTAGTGGACGTTTAACGAGGAGTTAACATACCGTTGGTGCATCTTGTTCTTCAGAAAGACGGCCTTCTCTCTCGGTAGCGGTGCAGTCTGCTTGGATGAATGTTGGTCGCCGAGCCGGATAAAGAAAGCGACCTCTGTTCCTCCGTTAAATCGGCATGACCTTAACCAATTCCCAATCGGTGGAAATCTTTGGTATACGACTGCTGTATCCTCCTCCTCTCTCTGCCCTCCTCCCTCTCCTCTTTCTCAGAAGATCACCTATGCAGCTTATGCCCCTTCACAGCCTTGAGAAGGGAGGAGGGAGGGAGGGAGGGAGGGAGGGAAGTGAAAATGGCCCATCCCTCGCTGAACAGCCACGGAAGATGGCACCATGGTTCCGCTGTTGACGTTAATCTCAACTTCGAGGTCAAAAATCCACAGCCGTGAATTAAAAAAAAAAAAAAAAAAAAAAAAAAA